AACAGGGAGATTGCCTTGGAGCGGGGTTGCATCCAAAAGGGTGATCCCTCAGACGAGCTAGGCGTAGTTGCGTACTTCACTGGGACGCGACGACGGCTGCAATCGGGGTGGCCTTTTCTTTGTTTGTACTTTGAATGTTGGACTGCTCTCCATGGCAGTGTCGTTATGTGTCCTCATTAGTGCCAAGGACACTCTCTGACACTGTTTTGGTAGATGCGGTCTTTCCGAAGAAAGAATGAAAAACGAGCAAACTCACAGGGTGACAGAAATTACGGGCAGCGGCAAAAAAATCGATAAAGTGGCATTTCAGAAAGACCGCATCTACCAAAACAGTGTCAGAGAGTGTCCTTGGCACTGATGAGGACACATAACGACACTGCCATGGAGAGCAGTCCAACATTCAAAGCACAAACAAAAAAAACCTAAACAAAATCAAAAAGTGGGTAAAAACACCGTCACTGCAGTCAAATAGCGACTGAAAGCAAAATATACAATAAAACCTTAAATTAGAGTAAATAATATGAACTCACTTTTCCTTCTAGTTAGCAGAATAACAGGCAAAATAGAAAAATTAATCGCTGAAATCAGCTGATCATGCAGCATCGATCGCCACTCCTACTGCAGCCGCCGTCGCGTCCCAGTGAAGTACGCAATTACGGATGGCCAGTCTGAGGGATCACGACTGTACATGGCTCCATAAGAACTATACGAGCAAGAAGGACTGAGGCACCTTTCAGAACACTCACAACCGCTTAGGAAATTTCATTCAGTATGGGGGTCATAAAAGTCATTTAAATACTAACACAACATTATAATGCACATTATTATTTAGCTGGAAGCTGGGCGTGTCAGGAAGTGGCTGAGTTGGAGCGGCCCCAGCCTGTCTCGACCGACTGTTGAAGCGGGCAAGCGACAACAACTGGCGGAAGACGACTGGGTTAGCCGTTCGCCTGACACGCCCCTGCCCTTGCAGCGAACAGGACTGTAGCTATAGAAAGGGCTACTCACAGGATGCTCGCCAATACCCATATGAGTCCTTAGTACTGAAATTCCACTCATTTGTCGTGTAGCTCTGATAATAAGTTCACTACTGCAAGCTCAACCAGGTATGTGCATCGTGCGCCGCCTCGCAGTCGGTGGGATTCTCGTCGTTTGGGGGGGGGGACAAAGTCCATATCAAGCACGTGTATGGACTCAAGTCTATGATTGTAGCGCGCCAACCTTCCTTGACATCTTTTCAAGTGGAGGACCCCTTTTGTTCCAAAATGAGCGG